ATAATATTTTTATTGAGAATTATTTCTGTATTATTGTGTCAAATATAAAAATAAAAAAGAATTAATTTGGTAATAACAATTTGTTGTAATAATAACAATATTTTTATTGAGAATTATTTCTGTATTATTGTGTCAAATAAAAAAATAAAAAATAATTAATTTATTATGCGAACTCTGAGCAAACCATATATTTTTTCAGAATTTTCTTGAAACTTTTCTAAACAATTTTTTAATTTGTAGTTGAAACTTATATATAGTGAGCACAGAATGACATATAGAGAGAGAAAGAGAGAGTGTGTGTGTGAGGAAGAGAGAGAAAGGAAAGTGTGACACTTGATTTGGGGCATACTTTTTAGCTTTCAATTAAACTTGATTAGTTTTGTGAATCAATTTATTAACTTTATTTATGCTCTAAAAAGACATCTATATAATAAAAACTCTTTATAACTTCTCATTTAAAAATTGATGACCATATGTTACGAACTGAATTTTGAAGCTATAGCCATGCCGCTATGGATGGGAAAGCATATTATTTAAATTCCCAAAATTCAAAACTTTAATTATTTTGAATCTCAATTATGATCAATAGCATCAACTGCTGCCAAAATACAGCACCTACAAATGGGATCACCTTTAAGGCAATATCCGCAAAGAGACAAATTCAAACTTTGACCAACGTTAGACAGCAAAGTTTCAGTAAAATTGCAAATGTACGAACTTGTGGATTAAAAGGGGAAAAAAAAAAAGAAACTTTAGCAAAGAGAGGAAGTATTTTGCACATGTATTTACATTTATTTTATTACCTAACATAAATTGCGGCAAACAAAGGAACGCAATATTGTCAATTCGACAACGAGGCAGAGTCCAACGGCAATTGTTGCCATCATGCGAATGGCAACAGCAACAGCAACAGCAGCAGCAGCAGCAACTGCAACAGCATCAACTTGCAACACAAAGCGGTAGCAGAAGCAGCAGTCGACTATGTGGCAAGCCGCCAGCAACAGGAGCAGCAGAATTTGTTGGCCTAGCCCTGGGTGAGCTCATGTTCGACTCGGCTCCTGCTGTTGTCTTCCTGCCACTGCCCCAACGACACCGCGTGCACTTCCGCTTTATGCTGTAAAGTGCACCACAGGGGTTCATTGTCCTTGTGCAAATTGGTCTGAGTTTATTGCCAATGGCTGTTCGCAGCAGACGCTGTCCGACCCAACAGCTGCTCCTGGCCAATTCTCTCTCTCTCTCTCTCTCTCCCTCTCACTATCTCTTTGCAAATGGGATGCGCTGCCGTCTGGACTGGCGTTGAGCAATAAAACTGCACTTTGAGGCTGCACAAAGTTTGCTTAAGATTTCAATTTGTTGCTGGAAGCTGCCGACGCCGCATTGTGTGCAACAATTTGCAATAGTAAAATTGCCCCATCTGCGCTGTAACTTTGGCCCCAAATGATAAATGCCTGCTAAATGCCACAGACTGCAATCGCTACCACGATTTATATGGCCCACGATGTTATCAATGTCTTCAGTTCTTTAAACTACGCGCGCAGCTCTCAAATAGGCCCATTAATTTGGACTAAACTTTGCCAACTTCAATTACAGCCAACGAAATTTCGACAAAACTAAGAGAGCACTTGGAAAATACACTGAAGAAAATGGGACTAATCAAAAATAACTTTTGAATATAAATATATAAATTTATTTATTGGTCTATATAATTATTTATTGCTCTATATATTTATATGCTCTAAAATGTATACAACTTTATTTGATATATATCCTATATTTTCTCTTAGTGCATGCATTAGCCTTCTAACTTTGCCTGCATCGAGCTACATGTGAGAAGCGTTTTGCATAAGCACTCGGCTTTCCTTCAAGGACAACACGTGACTTTCCAACTGTAATGGAAACTTTTCACTTTTAGCCAAACTTATGAAATATTATCGCTCGAAATGTCTGGCGTCGAGGGATAAGTTTTAGTATACTGCCACCTGGCACAAGTTTACGACAGAATATTCTAAGTGCTCGGCTAATGAAATTAGCCGTCTCTGTATGACAAAGCAAGCAACTGCGACATTCTCCATCCAGCAAATGCGAAATGCTCAAATAATGATATGCCTCAGCCAAATTGCATAAAGCGGGTTTAATAATTAACACAATTGCCTCTAACTGGCGGCTAATTGTGGTATAGACGAGCATGACCTAAGTGCAAGTTCTAGACATTAATATACCCTTTGAAGTGCTAGAGATAGCATATGCGTTGTGCACTTTAAATGTTTTCCAATTAACTTATTAAATAATTAGAGATCTGATTTATAATTTAGATTAAAAGCTGTGTATAACAAACCTTTTATAGATGTGAGAGCCAGGCAGATCTGTTATGTAATTTTATAAACTGCATCAGCAATAAAATAAAATGTTTTTTTTTTATAAAAACTGATTTATTTGAAAATCTCATTTGAGGTCTCTTATTTACTTTGAAATACTCATTTGCTTTGTAATTAGCCTGGCGAACTGAGAAGTTAAATTAACTAAACTAACGGCCGTAGCCACCTGCAGAGGCTGAGGCAGATGCGGATGCTGATGCAGAGGAGCTAGCACCAGACTTACCACCACCGTAGCCACCGCCGCCTCCTCCGTGCTTGCCACCACCTCCGTAGCCGCCACCACCAAAGCCGCCGCCGAACTTGCCGCCACCGAACTTGCCTCCAAGTCCAAGAGCGCCGCCACCGAATGGTCCACCGGAGAAACCACCGCCTCCATGGCCGCCATGACCACCGCCAATGCCGCCATGACCACCGCCAATGGCGCCTCCACTGGCGCTGGAACCAGCTGACGCACCTGCACTACCGCCACCAATGCCACCACCGAAGCCGGGTCCTCCGCCTCCATGAGCACCACCTCCATGGGCACCACCTCCATGGGCACCACCTCCAATGCCGCTGCCCGCAGATCCACCAGCGTAGCCACCGCCTCCAAGGCCAACACCGCCGCCTAGTCCACCGCCAAGACCACCTCCAAGGCCGCCACCGCCTCCATGGCCGCCACTACCGAAACCAGCGCCTCCATGACCAGCTCCTGCTGATCCACCAGCAAAACCACCGCTTCCTTGGCCGCCACTGCCGAAACCGCCTCCTCCAAGGCCACCACCGCCTCCATGGCCGCCACTGCCGAAACCGCCTCCTCCAAGGCCACCACCGCCTCCATGGCCACCGCTGCCGAAACCGCTTCCTCCGAGACCACCACCGCCTGCATGACCACCTCCGGCTGATCCGCTTGCTGATCCACCGGCGAAGCCACCGCCACCATAGCCGCCACTGCCGAAGCCGCCTCCTCCAAGGCCACCACTGCCGAAACCGCTTCCTCCAAGACCACCACCGCCTCCATGGCCACCACCTGCTGATCCACCACCGAATCCACCGCTACCGCCATGACCGCCACCCAGTCCGGCACCTCCGCCGCCCGCACCAAATCCAGGTCCACCGCCTCCATGTCCACCAGCGCTTGCACTGGAGCCAGCTGAAGAAGAGCCGCCACCGCCAGCGCCAGCGCCTCCATAGCCGCCGCCGCCACCACCAAATGGACCACCTCCAGCTCCAGCTCCCAGACCCAGTCCAAGACCTGCACCACCGTGCTTGCCACCGCCAAGTCCCAGGCCGCCGCCAAGTCCTAGTCCAAGACCTGCACCACCTAGGTCCAAGCCGCCGCCTCCACCGCCTCCGCCGCCAAATTTGCCGCCCGCACTGGCGCTGGAGCTAGCCGACGCGGATGCTGTAGATGAGGCACCACCACCACCGCCTCCATAACCAGCGGAAGCCAACGCAACGCAAACACTGAGCACAATAAACAATCTCATCGGAGCTTCTGACAAACACCAACTGACTTCGGCTCCTAGAGAACTCTCAGCTTTTATAAGAACGTCGAGGCATTGCGAAAATACAATTTACAACAAAATGCAAAAAACCCAAAACTAAAAACAATAAAATAAAAACAAAAACAAAACGAAATGAAAAAAAAAAATGTACTGTAAAATATAATCAAAGCAACAAGCAAATGCAAAACTCTAGTCACGTTCTGAACACCGGGATCGATGCCGGGTCAGACGGTGCAAAACTTTGATAATTAACCCACACACAGGGAAAAAGAGAGAGAGAGAGAGGAGAGTGAGTGAGAGAGAACGAAAGACATCAATAATATCGAGCCATAAACAATAATAAGGCATTTATTATCATTTTTATATATTATATTCCTCATTGTCTACGACCCTCTCGATGTATAACGTAATCATCGACCGATCGAGCAGATCTTCAAACAAAATTCAGATAAGCCAGAATCGAGATTAATCGAATTTCTTGATAATGTAAGAAAAACTATTTATAAAATATTACAATTAGGTTTTGATAATTTTATATTGTCCATAAACTTGCAAACCAAGTCAGAGTAAAAATCTTTTATTTAGCAAATTGTATAGATAAAATGGTTGGAAAAATAAATAAATACTGTATTATAGGACATCCTTATACATATATATACTTTAATATACTGTATATATAAAGCTATCCAATCCACTGAAATTTTAAATCTAAAGGCAAACAATTTGATTATGAATCGTTCAATGTATCCATAAATTTCTTTCTATAGGCAACACTAACTTATATCTCTATCAAATATATTCGCAGATTTTTCTAATTTATGTTATTATTCCAGTCATCCAGTATCCAGTATCTCATAATCAATGTATATCGTATTATATATTCAACACTCACTTCAATCTTCAATCAATGCCTCGAATTGCATTATGACAAGTCTGGAAAATACAGACATAAAAATGATTCAGATATTCCCGACACTTCAATTTCAATATTCTTTCATCATATGCCATTTAATATGTGCTACGCTCAGAGCATTCGTTATTCGTTGATTCTCGATTTTTGTTTTCTTTCTTGTTCCCATAGTAATTTGTTTACATAAATCAAGCTTGCGACGTCATTAAGATCGGAAATAGCAGCACCAAACAAGATTAGAATACGAATTTAACGGCACTAAGTACGGCGGGATGATTATGAAAGTAACTGACCCTAAGGTGTATTTAGACTGACGAGCGGGGCAGATTAAGAAGCTATTAGCTACGATTTTAATCAGGTAAATAATAAGTATTAAATAGACTTTACGATTGATTTTCTAAAGAAATGAAAATTGCTGCGCTTTTCACTAGTCTGACTTATTTGCTGGATATTTTAATTATTATTATTTTTTTTTTATTATTATCAAACTCCTTTTAATATAAAAAAAAAATGGAATATTTAAAAAAAAACTTTAAAAATACTTTGTATTTTCTTCCATTCTTTTGTCTCTCTTCCTCTCTACTCCACAATTCGCAATGAAATTAATTTATTTATCATTTTCTACATATTTTACAATGAGAAAAACCCATTTTAGATAAGACAATGACGCTGGAAGTTAGATTTTTTCCAAATCCCACGACTTAGACTGTGCATTGATCAAAAATAAATRAATTTAACAAACACGTTATTCATGACGCCCGTAAGTGATATCTGCCTATAGATCACTTATACCAGTAATGCAAGTAACTAATCCCCTATAAAAATGTATTATAAATTAAAATTTAATATATATATTTTTTTTTTAATAAAAGGAGTTTAATATAAATATTGTTTTGTTTATTATTACTCAAGAAAAATGCTTCAGGACACAGTACGCTTTTTCCAGAGTTTTTCATAGCTCATAAAGAAGAAAACAATAATAAATGAAGTCAATGCAGTAGTAATGTATGATCCTAACAGGCAGTCATCCATATAGCCAATCTCCCATATATGCAATCTCCATTCAGCTTGATATTTATGTGATCAAAAATGAATGCAATCCTTTATATACTTCAAGTTTACACTGAACTTTTTTTTTTATTCACTAAGAACTAAATTCCAGTAGCAGAGTACGTTTTGGTGTTGAGGAAAATACAGTTTTCACGCCTTGAACACAGCTTTTCACTTATTTTTGATGGCCGGGTGAACTGAAATGCAAATGTCAAGAGTTGCTTGGCCTGAAAGCATAAGCAGCTCCGAGAGAAAAGTCACTCACTAGACAACAACAACAACACGAGCCGCAGCAGCAGCAGCTGTTGAGAAAATGGCATGTGCTTAGGAAAATAGAAAATTTCCTCAAGGAAATCTGCTTAGAAATGCATGTACTTGTTGTTTCCACGGCTGTTGCTGTTGCTTGGTTTCTTGGAAAATCTGCTACAGCTTTGTGGGCCAAGTCATTGTCAGCTGAAAGAAACAACTTTTGACTTCCGTTTCCGGTCGAGCCGGAGCTGCTGCATATTTAAAAACGCACAGTTTTATGCAAATATCTATTCCATATTTAAAGCTACACAACAAAGGCAAAATAAATAAATAAATATTAGATATGCTGCTGGACGAGCACTGAACATCATTTGGCATGTAGGCCAATTGCACGCCCTCGTATCCTCAGGCCCTTGACCTCGCCCTCCACATCCCTGGCCGCCAGCTGGGGCGTTGGCAGCGGCTGCTTGCCCAGCACTTGCAGCATGCGGTCGTAGACCAGCCTGCGTACATCCACAGCCCAGAGGAAGTCCATGTGGTTGAACTCCTTGAGCGGCACCAAATACTTGCCAGTCACATTGCCCAAGTCCTCGCACATGGCCTCCACATCGTGCGGATGACACAGCAAATCGTTGCTTGAATAATAAACAAAAGTCGGCACCGTCACCAGGCTCAGATTGTAGCGCGGCGGCAAGTGCTCCCTATACAATGCCATGTTCTTGTTCGAACTGTAGCTGTATGGTGCGAATCTGCCGCTCTTGATGATTTGTATAAAGTGCTTGACCTGCTTGGCGGCCACGCCTGCCGGATAATGGCCCAAAACAACGGGAAACATTTTCTAAAATTACGATAAACACTTGAAGTGCCAGGAAATTGGCTTTACAGCTACCACTTGAACTTACCCTGTTGAACTCGTTCCAATTGCGTCCCACTATGCCAAAGACAGCCTCGATGCAAAGTCGTTCCGTTTCCTCGGTCATGCGACAGAGAAAGCGAAATTCACCATTGAACATTTCGGTTATGGAGCTGCCTACCAGGGTCTGGAGAATGAGGAGTGTGTGGGGAAGAATATGCGGAATTCAAGGAACGTATGGCATATAAAGAGTGTAAGAAATATACAGATATTTAGGGAAATAGGGAATATATTATAAGGAATATATGGAATAGTGGAATTATATCGAATATAAGGAATAGTACGAATGGAATGGAATATAAGAAATATGAAAAATACACGGATATTTGCAAATAACACTCAAGATGCCCTATAGCCCTAAAATCAATTCTTAAACTTAGTTTTTTTAGCACTCCTATTTTCGTATATAATGTCATCTATAATATTACCTCGCCTAACTTCGTATATTATATCATATATAGTGATACCTCTGTTTTATGTTTTTATCTCTGTCATATACTCACATTGAAATACAGGCTGATGGCACGTATATAGGGATGATCTTCGGTTTCTTTGGCATAGACAGCCGGCGCCATGGCCTGCATGGAGATGACCTTCTCGTTGTAGGCCGGTCGCATCGAGCACATGACAAAGAAAGCCGTGCAGCCCTGGGAGTGTCCGGCGTATTGCAGTTTCTTATAGCCGGTCAACTTAAGCACATAATCGATCATGGCCGGCAGATCGTACATGCCTATTTCATGCCAGCTGAAGTCCCAGAACTTCGAGGCATCCGGATCGAGAGTGGTGTGATTTCTCGAGTAGCGATTGCCGCGCGCATTTCCCAGCCAAACGTCATAGTTGTGGTCGGCCAGCAAGTAGCCTGGAGCGAAAGTACTCGTAATCACATGGCCAGCATTCATTAATCATAGCGGCGACACTCACCCAGACTCACATTGGGGCCCATCACAACGAAGCCCGCCGAGCTGTCGACGAGTCCGTGCTGCAGCAGAAAGGGCTGGGCGCCCGTTTTCCGTATGCGATGCATTGTTAGAATGTAGCCATCCTCTGTGGTCACATGATGCACTTCCGCCTGGTAGCCGTATTTGGCAATTAATTTATCCTGTTGATGAAATGTGTAAATTGTCGTTGCAGTTGATGGGCGAACTGGCTCGGGTCATTAATCTTCGTACCACAGTTAGGTTGGAGTCCTGCTTGATGTTTTTGCGCTGTAATTTCTCTTCGGGTGTCTCATCCTCGACACTCTCCTCCTCCTCCTCCTCCTCTTCCTCCTCTTCCTCGTCCTCCTCGCCGCCAATCAGCTGCGCCTGCGCTCTGCCAATCAGCAAACACAAGCCGAGCGCCAGCAATAAACGATGTTGCATTATGATGGATGAATGGTACCTTCACTCCAATTGAACCGATCAGCATAAAGAGAAATTGGGTCTTTCAATTTCGTATACTTTGTTTTTTTTTGTATACTTTGTTTGCTTGGGCTCTTTACTTGTTGGTCAACTTGAGCGCTGCGCGTCCCGGCCTCAACTGAAACTGAAACTGAAACTGAAACCAAAAATCCGGCGACGCGTTTACAAAGAATGCCGAAAAAACTTTCGATCGCCAACAACAACAATCAAAGCATTGACAACAACAACAGCAACAACATCGACAACAACAATGATAATAAAAAAATGCGTTATGACGTGTTTTTGATTTTGTTTGGTTTTACCTCTTTGATTACAAAATATACCCTGTACTTTTGAGCTAACTGAAGCTGGCTATGATTCAATATTTGTGAACAAGTGTGAAGAGGTGTCTTCTGATTGAGTAATACTAAATGCTTAATGAGAGATTATTATGGTAATTAAATATTTATACCACAAAGAGACAATACAGCAAATAATAATGACAACATTGTTTTTTAAATTAAAAATAGAAAATATAAGATACGTATCAGAGTTTTTTTTTCGAATCAAATTCCATTCATATAATAGTGTTAAGTTATAATTGTCATTCTAATGATAATAGTAATTATTTTATGTTTTATAAGCTATACTAAAAATATCTATATTTTATAAATCATACTGTTAAATTATAATATATTAAAGAGCAAAGTTAATAATTATTGATATACACTTATATGTAATATACTAGATA